CTGATTTTCAGAAAAGTATATAAACTCATATAACAACATTAATATTCGACTGAATGTAATTTCATATGTTCATAAAAATTTCTTAACCTTTTCCAGCCGACTACTAGAAGACAAGTAACAAAAAAGTCTTTTTATGGATTTTCGTTGCTCCTAGACCATGGAGATAGGAAAAGTTTATTTCTCAGAACCAATAAGTGCTTCGGCATCTAATGGTTTCATGTATCCATTTGGATACATCCGGCCACTAAGGGACAAAAGTTTTGAAAAAGTCATTTCTTTTTGTCCAGCAAAATTTGATATTTTATGGTTTTTCTTACATCTATATTTGTAGATGAAATCACATGTTGCCTGTTTGTCGATGTTTTGCAGTCCAAAGCTTAAATATTTCTAGAATATTCTAAGATTCTGCAGTATAGTGCAATAGTAGCTCAATTTTTTCCGAAAAGTTTTAGAAATTCAGAAACATTCTAAAGAGTTTCTGAACATTTTCTAGTGTTCCAAACTAGGCTATCACGAAATATTCAGCAACTCTCTACAATATTCCTGAATTTATAAAAATTATCGAAAAAAATTGAGCTACTATCGCACTATACTGCAGAATCTTAGAACATTCTAGAAATATTTAAGCTTTGGACTGCAAAACATCGACAAACAGACAACGTGTGATTTCATCTACAAATATAGATGTAAGAAAAACCATAAAATATCAAATTTTGCTGGACAAAAAGAAATGACTTTTTCAAAATTTTTGTCCCTTAGTGGCCGAATGTATCCAAATGGATACATTCCCATTTTTTATTATTCGGATTTTTTAAATAATCCGTCTTAGTGATCCAATAGACAGTAGGTCTATGAAGGAAAATTAAAAACTGCTTGCTTCGAAGTTTGATTATTTAGAGACACGAGAAAAGGATTATTTCTATACGGACGCTATTTTGGAGCATTTTGGACAGAGCCGGCCATTTTCTTAGTGAGTGTTATTTCCTTCTTCTAAACACGTGAATGTGTGCTGAAATGTGTTAACTTATTTATCAAATCGTCAAAACATTTCATATCATCACTACAAGTTATTTCTTCGTAAAACATTGACTTCATGTATCCAAATGGATACATCCGGCTGTAAAGGGTTAATAAACTCATCACATTTTCATATATATAAATTTTCGACACAATGAAATTTCTTTCTTAGAGAAAACATACGAAATTGTAGTTAGTAGTGTTCCTTGTTGAGTCGTTCTTGATTTTCTTTCATAATCATGATGTATTTGATTTGAACAATATGAACAAGATATTGAATCAATCTAGATAAATTCAAAGAAAACTATAATAGATGGCAAAAGAAAATTTTTCCTTATACAATATCAACTTTTGTTAATTGAGAAATAATTGTTTCTAATGTTGTACTTGTTTTATTTACTGGTAATATTAATATTTGAAATGGTTCAGCATGAAAACGTACATGAGAACAACTAGAAGAATATTTATTTTAGAAAAAAACAAACAAACAATTGAATCTTATTCTATTTACTTATTACAACAATATGCATGAAGAAGTTGTCCAGAAAACATATGTTTTATAATTGAACCAAGTTGAATATGATGAAGTAACCAAGTAAGATCAACATATTGAATTATATACGATGTTTGTGCATCAAGATTATTTAATGTTATTTTATTATAAAGCTAAAAAGAATAGAAAAAAAAAAAAAAACTTTTTGTTTTTCATAATTGTGAAAATATTTTCTATACTTGTGCTTCAGTTTCAACAAATATTTTATTTAAAAAATCAAGTGAAAATGTTGTTAATTTTTTATTTTGTACTTGTTCAGTTATACTAAAAATAAATGTCAAATAAAATTCGAAAAATTTCACATATCGAATTTTACTTTGTTGAATAGACTAATGTTTGTTTTGATAGAGCATTATTCATTACATCAAGAATACATTGAAATAATTCTCCTATATCTGTTGTTATATGTTTTGTTAATAAATTTGGATAGATAACATTTAATTTTGATATAAATAATGATGTATCAATAGGTGTTGTCCAATGTTTATATTCTGTTGTACGATGATCATTACGTAATTGAACAATAAGATCAATAAAAGTAGATACAATTGGATCATAATTAAAACGTGAAAACTAAATTAATCAAAAATAAAATAAATTTTTCCATAGAAAGTAACGTATAACTCTCTAAAGTTATAGCGAAAAGGTCTAACAAATTCAGAATAGACCCAACATTAGATATGTGCGGAACTCAGTTCTTTTAGTCCCGGTTCTGCATATATCTATTCGATACTCTATAGTGATATTTGCAGCAAGATCGAACTCCAAAAAGAAAAACCAATTTTTCAAAGATCGGCTCATGTTCGAGAACCAGACTTTTTTGTTTCGATGTCTTCATTCCGTGTCATGTCGCTAACAACGAATAAAGCTCAATTGTTTGAAAATCCTAAGCATGTTCAAAATAGAAACCTATCCGTGTAAATTTCATAGATTGAAGAATTCTCTACAAAACGACCTCTTTCGGTTTTAAACTTGTAGTATTAAAGTCTTTGTCCTTGTTCTGTATCGCATTACTAATGCTAGTTTTTCAGGATATCTAGAGTAAAGTGGTGGAAAAAAGTTTAGAAACAATGATTTTTTTGGTTTTTTTTCATAATGTTAAGCATGTAGCTCCAATCCAAATAGTGATTTTAATAGCCAATTGAGTTTTCTATCCAATACATTTTATAACAAGATTTCACAGATGAACAATAATGTCAAGACTCCTAAAAAACTGAACACAGTATTTTTCAGGTTTTAGAAAACTTTGTCAGAGCTGTTTTTGAACGGTGCCATCTTAAAGAGCATAAAATTCTGAGCAAAATGACGGATTGCCGAGTTTTCTACAAACTCCTCGTAAAAAGTTACAAGCATCACAAAAATCATGAAAAAGGCGTCTTTAGTCGCTTTTTAAAAAAACTTCGTTTTTTCATGATGCTTGTAACTTTTTATGAGAAGTTCGTAGAAAACTCGGCAACCTCTCATTTTGCTCAGAATTTTGTGCTCTTTAAGATGGCACCGTTCAAAACAGCTCTGGCAAAGTCTTCTAGAACCTGAAAAATACCGTGTTCGGTTTTTTAGGAGCCTTGCCATCATTGTTCATCTCTGAAATCTATTATGAAAAAAACCAAAAAAATCGTTGTTTTTTTCTAAACTTTTTTCTATCACTTTAATTCACTAGAAATTTGATAGCGAAATGAAAGTTTTGAATTTAGAGATAAACACTTTTTTTCTTTCCATTTTTCAGTTTAGGAAACGTATGTATCTAGTCTTATCGGATTCTATTGTTTGGAATTTTCAAAACTTCTTTCAAGCTGAAGACTATCAAAATTTTATTGAGGAAAAAGACTTGAAGACAAAATATAATCATAATTAGAAATATGAAGATATACTGATCATTTTTTTGCTAAATTAAAGATTAATCCAAGTTTGTTTATTTTTTGAACATTAAGATTTCTGAAAGGAAACATCTACGGTTTCGTACTGAAAGAACAATGCAAATGAATATAGCAATGTAATTTGAAAGTTTACATATGTTTCTAAGTGTTATTTACTCGTCTTTATAATAAATTATTTAATTGGAATTAATTAGATGTTTTTTTGAAAATCATTTTTTGGACTTTGAATTACTGTACTTGATGATTCATTCGTCATGGTTGACTGCCTATATGTTGTAAAGCACATATTCAATAGGTACTGTGTTCAAACCTCGGTAACACCAACCATTAAATAACTTTAGATAAGGCTGTTTGTCTCCGATTACCCGTCTGATAACATGCTGATTAAGTTGTGACATACATCTGTCCTTGTAGTTAATTAGTGTGTACAGGAGGCGCAAAAACTGGTCTTCTGTCTAGAGTTACAACTAGTCATAGTGGTAGAGAAGATATCGAACTAACGAATCTGTCGCTAGGCAGCATTTTATATTTCAAGGTTGGGGCGCTCTTCTTCTTACATGATGATTTTAGTAGAAAATTGCGTTATTATTCATATTGATAATCTTTAGATAATTAATAGAATCCAAGCAGAATCTTTTAGAAATCAATTTTCTGATGTGTATTTCTTACATTTATATTTCGTTGTAATGATGAACAAAAACTATTGAGTGATGCTAAACTTTGTAAAAGAGCATTTAATGAACATGTTGTACCATGTAGATTAAAAATACCAGGTCGTGATAATGATTGAATAGAAGATGACTAAAAATTAATACAACAAAAAAAAGAACAATGAATTATCAAACAAAACAAAAAAAAAAAAGAATTTAAAATAATAATTTTATACTTGTTGAAGTCGAAGATCATTTGTTGGTTTTAGATGATAACTATATAAATATTTTTGTGGAATTTTTTTTGTTATTATTGGTTTTGAAGATGAACGATTAAAAATATAATTTGAAATAAAATTATATAAATGATTTCTTATTGTTTGATATATTTGAATAAATATATAAGTAAATATTTTAAAACCATCTTTTATTATATAAAAACGTTTTTCGATATAAAATATTCCAATAATATGAATAAAAAGAAGAAATATTAATAAAAATGTTATATGATGATAAAATGATATAAAACCAATTAAAAAACCAAAAATCAAACATTCATATACGAATATATTAAAACGATTTTCTTCTCTAAATAAATTATTTAAAACTTACAAAAAATAAAAACATACAAAAATAAATTCAACATACTTATTAATACTAAGAATAAATTTTGTTATATTATCAACAATTAAATAAATAATAAATTCAAATATAATATCTAATACAAACCACATTATTTGTTGATAGTATATAAAACCACAAAACTATTTTTCTTTTTCTAAATAAAAAAGTAACTATAAAATATTATTCGTCCATTATTTAACCAATCCAATATATTGATTACATATGTCTGTTTTTTTTTTTCTTTCATTCATACATATTAACTTATCGAACAATCTAATCATGTTTGGCATCATTAAAACTGTTCAATTATCAACAGCAACAGCTGTTCGAGCATTTCATGCAACAAAACCTTTATTTGCAGCTATTAAAGTAAGAAACAAACAAATTTTTTATTTTAAACAAGTTTTCATTTTAGGAAGGAGCTACTTTACCAAATCATACATTGTTTGAAAATGAACCAAAAAATAAAGTAAATATTACGGATGTTTTTGCTGGAAAAAAAGGAAGTAAGTAGAATATTTTTCTAAATTACTTACTAAATCATTTTCTTTTTTCAGTTCTATTTGGTGTACCAGGTGCATGTAAGTTGAAAAAATTTTTTTATTTTGAAATAATATTTTATTTATTTTATTAGTTACTCCTGGTTGTTCAAAGGTTGATTATGATAAATGATTTTTGTATAGGTTTTTTTTTATTAATTTTATATTTTAGACTCATTTACCTGGTTATGTTAATTCAGCAAAAGATTTTGGACAACTTGGTTATGATACAATAGTTTGTGTAACTGTTAATGACCCATTTGTTTCTCAAGCTTGGGCAAAACAACTTAACGCTGAAGGAAAAGTAAGAAAGATAATATTGTTTACTATGTATCAGGAAAAAACAAAGTTTAATATAAAATTAATAGAGAGAAAAACACACTTATACTTAGCCTACAAGAAGATCTCGGTAAGACTAGAAAAAGCTTAAAAGATAGTCGAAGGATCCGTAGAATATCTTAAAAGTTTCAGCTGAAAAGAATATTTTCTCTTTTGGCGCGATGATGAATTTTAAAAAAAAATAATCGTTTGCCATAGGTATGATACAAAAAATCGATTTTATATGAAAATTCAATATCCCGACAAAAAAAATTTTTTTTTCAACTGAAGCTTTTAAAATATTCTCTGGATTGTTAGACCTATCTGTCGGCAGTATTTCATATCGAAATTCTGTTTTTTTTTTATTTTTCGGTATATATCTAGAGGTAGGTCGAATATTCAGTAAAACTATCATAGCTCGGCTCCAGACGTTCTTGTAGGTTCAATATGAGCTCAAAATGGCGAGTCTCATTTCGGATAGTTCCTTTGTTAGTCCAACTGATAAAAATTTCCTTTTGTTACTGTCCAGCATCAAAGATAGTCCACTGTATCTGGTGACAAATTACATTTCCTACTCAAAAATGAACTTTAAAAGATATAACAAATAGATAGATAGACTTGGCGACCTTTTTAGGTCTTTAATAGAACATTTCTTCTTTAACTCAAGCATAATTGCAGAATACTTGTTCTATCTTGAATTCGAGTCAAAATATTTTTCAGATGAAAGGGCTATGACTTTGCTATACCAATTTACAGTAACAAGTGTCAGTTTCTAATAAATCATTGTTGAAATTCTAATTGTTTCTGCTTTCAATTTCTACGAATGGGCCATGTAAGATAGCAAAGTTCAGTTGCATATGATTCTACAAATTTTTTCATTGAATCTTTCGTTTAAGCTTTTGACGAAATCAGATTCAGGATTTATAAATAAGTGAACACGAAGAACCACTATAACTGAAAGTTTCTATTCATTGTTATTAATTCTAGGTACGAGTATTAGCCGATCCAGATGCTAAATTTACCAAGGTAAAAATAATATCAAGAATAGAAAGATAAAGAAAATATTTTCTTATCATGTAATTCTAGGCTCTTGGACTCGAAAAAGATATGACTGCTGCATTAGGCAATGTTCGATCATCTCGGTAAATTAATTTTTAAAATTTCATCATATTGATATCTTTTATATTTCAGATATGCTATGGTTATTGATAATAATAAAGTAAAGAAATTATTTGTTGAACCAGATGGTACTGGTTTAACTTGTTCGGTATCACAAAAAGTTCTTGATGCAATCAAGAAAGGTGTCTGATCAAATGATGCGATTGATTTTGACATTCTTTTTAATATATATTCTCGCGATAGTTATTATATCCTTTTTTTCATTTTAATAAAAAAGTTTTTGATTTATTAGATCAAATGATGTCTTAGAGACTAATAATCATAACAGATTCTATCAAATGAAAATATCATAATTTGTCAATAGTAAAAACAAAATGAATATTTATTGTAAATTCACAGAACTTTCCTAAGTGTTCGATCGCTTTTGTACTTGAGACTATTGCCATTCGATCGATTATGATGAAAAGTGAAAAAGTTTTTGAGTCTTTACATGTTGATTTATGGACGTTTTACTTGATTTTCGCTCTATGAACATAGGATTGCTGAAATCCAGAACGATCGAATTTCGAATTCCAATATTCTCTACAAATAGACTTTAAAGTCATTAGAAACACATCAAAGTTTAGGTTACGACAAATGGATCCTTATTGAGATATCAATTTGTTATCAGCGTGCAGCAGACATTTCTTTGAAATAGATACATCCGTTCTGACTTAAACTTTGAAGTATTTTTAGCGTTTTAAGGTCTATCTGTGAACGAAATTTCACGAATTCGATTAAACAGGTTTTCAGTGATTCTATGTTCGTAGAGCAAAAATTGAATGAAACGTCCATAGCTCAACTAGCGAAAACTGGAAGACTTCTTTATTACACATCATGATCGGTTGAGAGTATGTGAGCATTTATTTCACATCTTTCATGCCTCCGAGCAGATCGCAGACACCATTTGCATGTTCAGACACACACACACCAACATTCAGATCCGCAACGACATTCGAAACCGCACACCGATAGCCACCCCACACCTACAGGTACACCTACCCTTCTTTTTTTCTACTCATAAGAGATATTCAAATTCATCATATATTGATTTAGTATTCACCTTTAATCGTTATTATATCGAACATTAGAAGTCAAGGGTTGTACCGGTCTGATTTTATGTTCTCATATAGAGATGCGACTCATTATTGTTGAAGTTCTTTTTTCGTACATATGATCTCCGATCAATTTATGAATATGTATACATCATTCTACAGTTGATTATGAAGAGAGTAGTCATGGTTGGATGAATCATCCATAAGTCATTTCCTACTCGACTGGCTCAAAACTACTTCGTATCAATTTCCCATATCGATCAGTAATAGACAGTATGGAATGTGGGTATGTTTATAATAGAAAGATTCAAAGGATCATGCAACGCGTTGCAACTATTGTTTACATAGTTATCGTCAGGTATGTTAAGAATCCGATACTACATAATATCAATTTAAATAGTAGAAGACACCTATAGATTTGAGATTATGTTCTTACGGAAGTCAAAGAAATCCAACATAAAGAATAAAATCTAAAGGAATACAATTAATATATTGTAAATATCGTAAAAATTCTATATCAGTAGTATTCATCCTATTGATTTGCTGAGCGTTTTGTAGAAGAATAGCATTCTCTTGTGAATTAGAAACAACTCACTATGGTTTTGTAGGCTTTGGTTCTGCAAATAGTTTCACAAAGAAACGACAGATTGCCTGTAGAGTCATATTTGTTCTTTTCATTTAGCTCTAGTACTCGCTGCTAAAGTAAATCTCAGGTTTTCATATTGCTAATAGTACCTATAAATAGAAGTAGGTATATCCATTGGGTCTCAACCACGTTGTATCAAAGTGATCTAGGATTTTGATAAAAAACAATTTTTTGAAAAGCTTTTATTTTAATGGAGATATACCTGAAATACTTTAAGCAATAAAAATCAAAATTCCACAAAAAAAAAGGTTTTTTTCGCAGTTTTCTTCGATAGTTTTTGGTAGTCTTGTACATTAAAACAAGATCAAAACAAAATCCAAGACCATATTCGGATTCCTTGTGATGAGATGCATCTGATCATATTACAAAATGAACACATTATACTTGTTTCAGCTCGCGCTCTTCTCAGATAAAAACCAAATGATCTAATATTTTGAATTTCATCATGGTTTCATAGAATCTTTAATTTAAGATAACAGAATTGAAAACTAAAAGCTTTTTTTTGCAACGGTCATGTAGCAAACTCTCTCACAAAGATATAGATGAGAACATAGATCAACAAAGTTAACTTAATATTTTAACCTTATCGAAAACGTTGGCAATTCTGTACTATCAGAATCGTCGAGCAAATCAGCTTCTTGGAATAATCACGAACGCAAGATAGCACTCCATGTTTGTGCGGTCGATGATCAGTCAGATTATATTTGAGACTTGTTTTTTTTCTAATTCAAGTCAAGTTTAGTATGATTAGGTGCGCCTCATCACGATGAATCCCAATATGGTCTTGGATTTTATTTTTGATCTTGTTTTAATGTACAAGACTATGAAAAACTATTGAAGAAAATTGTGCAAAAAATTCCGTTCTTTGCGGACTTTTGGTTTTCACTGCTTAAAGTATTTTGGGCAAATCTCCATTAAAATGAAAGCTTTTTTAAAAAACTTTTTTATTAAAATTCTTAGAATTAAAAGCTCTAGAAATCCTGAAAATGTAATCGAAATCGAAGATCCGATGAAAATATCCTTTTATTTTTCAAAGATGGATTCTAAGTAAAATAATATCATCTTGAAGTATGAATTAAAATGGCTGTATTTTCTGCAAAAAAAAGGAATTCGAAAGGAGAAAAATTTACTTTTTCTAGATAATTCGGTATATTCTATAAACTGGACAGAGTAAAGACAATTTTCGACAAAAAATTTGTTATTGTAGAAAGATTGAGCCTGACTACTATACTCTAGTGGCATCTATGATATTATGGGTTTTTTTGTAAATAAAAAAACTTGAATTGAAAATTTATTAAAATTTTCATTAAAATTAAATGATAAAAATTTTTGGTTGGATGAGAAAAATCAAAACGAAAATTTACAAATCAAATTTGAGATGATGATATTCTCCCTCTCTTTCTCTCTCTCTCTCTCTCTCTATTTAATTGATATGATGAAGTACAGGCATTTGACATCAAATGAACGAACAAAGGAAACAAATGATGAAGTATACATGATATTAATAAAAAAATCAAAAATGTTTCATGTCTTCTTCTTTTTTTCATCCTGTTGGTATGTTCTAATTCTGATGATTGCATAATTCTTTTCTTTCTTGATGAAAGTTTTTCTTATTTCTCTCCTTTTTTTCCTGTCTGTTGTATCGTTATGTCTTATAAATATGTATTATGCATTTGAAAAGGATTATTCCAACTTTTTCTTCTTTCAAAAGACATGTTTTTTTGTTTGTTTTTATAAAAATTAATAATGAACATAGTCGCAATTAATTATTAAAACATTAAAATTAGGTTTTGTTAGAGCTTGTTAAATGAGGTAAGCATAATTAATTAGATGATCTTTTAATTTAAGTTTATTTTTAATAGATATTCTTAAATACTTTTATCTGATTCAATTTTGTTAGATAGGTTTTGTCTTAATACAGACAAGTATTATAGAGAAAAAGAGAACAACTATGTATATTTGTTTCCTGTATGTATAGAGATGTTGATAGTAGTAGGTTGTAGATAATAGTAGTGAGTAATGGTTTATATCGATGGCGAGTATACAAACTAAAGAAAAGAAGATATTTACATTCTTGTCTGTCGATAATAACGAGAGCGACGACAAAGAAATAGAACAGACAGACAATTATAAGACGATTCGACTGCCTCTAGATCACGTTGGTATATTTTTTTATTCTATGTATTCACACGTTTTTGTCTATTGATTTTTGAGCTAAAACATTTTGTCACCTGGTTCTTTTGCTCTATGTATAAAAATGATTATTGTTAATAGACATGTTTTTTTTTTCTTCCGTTCGTTTTTGATAGTTAATTCGATAATAATATTACAAATAATGGTATTTTTTTACTCTGTTATAAAAGAAACAATAAAAGTCTAATGAACTATTTGAAGAACACAGATGGAATATTAGTTTTTTTTCAAGAACGTTCTATTTATGAGTGGTGTCGCATCTTGTATTGATTGTTTAGAAGAGAGGTATAATCGAATATTCTTATATGTCAGAATGAAATAATAAAAAATATATTCATAGATCAATAGAACGTTTAAGTTTTTTTATTATTTTGTTCTACAGTTAGTTTTCATATTAATTGAAAACGAAAAATCTTAGACATATATTCAAGAATTTCTTAGAAGAGAGTAATATTATAATAAAGAATATTCTTAAAATAACTATTTTATTTTCAAGCTGATAACAAATCAAATTGAGTATGTATTATTTCTATTCTATTAAATTTAACATAGTCTCAGTTAGATTATATACATAGTATACATTCTATCGTTGAATCTCGAATAATTGATGTGCATTAGAATACAATTAAAATCAATAGAGAATACCAAGTTATTCGTGAGATAAACAGACTAGACTGTTAACCGACTGAAAAACTATTTACAAATCTTCTATTATATCGATTGCACCTTTGTTTTGGTTCCTTGCAGGTTTTTTAAGTACATATGATAAATGCAAATGAATATTTACAAACTTCGTTGAATTGTAAAGCAAATTCTTCTCGACAAAATCTAATACATTAGAGTTAAATACAACTAGGTTTCTTTTTTTAGTTAAAATAATAACAAACTTGCGCTGCTTTTGATTCGATATATTTTTTATCATTCATGTTAAATAGATACAGATTTTCTTTTTTTTTTTTTAACATCTTTATTGAATAATTCTCATACAAAAACTGCATGTTTTCTATTTCTTTTTTTCGAAGTACTCATACAGACTTTCTTCATTTTGTTGTTTCTGTTATTTTTTTTTAAGTACTAATATTACTAGTGCATTTTTCTATAGTTGCCTACGCATAGTAACACATGTGTCCCACATCATCCTACTCAACATTCCATATACATTTTTTGCTTTTGTATTTCATTTTCGTCGTTACAAATATATAAAATGCATCATGTTTAATTCATAGAAAAAAGTAGGCACTTTTTTGACTTCGAATATGTTTTTTTGATTTTTAATGTTATTAAAATAATGAAAATGTTTATGAGTTATTTTTTTCTTCGTCTTTCTTTTTTTTTTATTTACACAATATTCATCATCCAATATTGATGTTTCACTTTGAAAATAAACAATATAGAAGTAGATTGTTTTTTCACAATTAATATTTGTACATATATTAAAATTTGTTCTTAAAGGTGAAATCCAAACATCATTGAATGTTTTTATTTTTATTTTTTCTGTCTGAAGTACTTCATATATTCTGCGACTACGAAATTTATTTTTGTTACCATACGTTTCTCTCTCTATATATATGTCTTAGATATTTGTAAAAAAAAAAACATAAAAACAAAGAATAATGCCACGAAAAAGTTCTATGCGTGATAATGTCATCGCTGTTCGTTCTCGATTACCACATTTATCTGATCTTTCACGTGAAAAAATTGAACTAGCTTTACTTTATTATGAATTAAATATTGACGAAACTGTTGAAGCATTTAAAAGAAGTATGTTAAAAAACAAAAAAAAATTGATATTTTTATTTTTGTCAAAAATAAATTATATCTATTTTAAGATGGTGCAATTGAAGCTCTCGGTGGTTGGACTGAAATGGGTAATGGTCGAGGAAATGTAAATATTCTTTTTTTTTTCTTTTCAAAATAAAATTTATTTATTTTATTTATTATAGACTTCATCGAAACGAACAAATAATGATACTCGAAATAGAAATAATAAACCATCGACATTATCTACAAATTCATTATTACAAAATCCTCCGTCCAATGGGATTTTACGACCATCACAACGTGTATCAAATTTATTTCAAACATTTGCTATAGGTGGTATACCAACAATAACTACTAATGGTAAATAAATTTTTCATCAGAGAAAAAGATTTTTTTTTTTTTTGTTATGTAAAATTTTCATTTTAGGAAGTACAACTATGTCTAATACAACTGCTTGTTCACCATCATCAATATCATCATCATCTTTTATTGAACAATCTGATAATAATCATGGTACAAAACAAAAAACATTCATTTTTTTTCTTTTATTAATTAATATCATATTTCTAGATTTAACAATAACTCATGATGAAACAATCGAACAACAAAAATCACAACTTCTAAGTCATATAGAAAATCATGATGATTCAATTTCATCAATAATACAAAATCATGAACCATCAACAATTACCAATAGTCAACCAACAACAGTAGCAAAATTGGCTAATAATAAAAAATGTAAAAATACTTTCAAAAGAGATTGTTTTTTCATGAATTTGAGTTTCCGACAAAATTGAACCCGCAAACCTCTTTAGATAACATATGTAGAGATACAGGTATAAGACTATGTAGGCTTATATCTCTGTGTCTTTAGGGATATATAGTCTTACATCTATATATCTTTGGAAGATTCCTGGTTACGTTTCTGATTTTGTTACTTAATTGAGATTCTTTAAAAGAATTTAAATTTTTGTTTTTTTTTTTTGATATTTTAGTACTTACAAAATCAGTTAAAGATCTTCAACGACAAACATCAACATTAACAAATGTTGAAATATTATTTAATAATGAAATAAAATCATCAATAAAACGTATTGATGATATATTTAAACAAATACATGAAATACTTAAACAACGTGAAGTTGAAATTTATTTAGAAATGGATAAAGTTAAAGAACACGGTTTAAATATCATACATAATAGACAAAAACGTGCTATTGAATTACGTCAACGTATTGATCGTTGTGATCGTCTTGAACCATTTGAAATAGATAATCTTCGTCATGATATTAAACAATTTGTTACTGATCGTCGATATGATCTTGGTGAAGAATTAACAACATCACATCGTTTTGAATATGATCAAACAATAATAGATTTATTAAAAAATTTTGGTCATGTTTCACCAGTTGAACGAACACGTTTGGCATCAATATCATCTGGATTTATTGAAACAAATACATCAACAATAGAAAAACAAATATCCGATGTAACATCAGAAAAAATACAAATATCAAAGAAAAGTAATCGTATACCATCAATATCACATTCATCAAATGAAATTGATTTTATTAATAAACAACAAGAACCATTACCACAACGAATTATTAATAATCAACAATTAAATGGTGAAATTATTAATATTCCTACAAATGGTTATGTTACCGGTGATTATCATCAACATTTTAATTCTTCACAACAAATTAATGGTTCTCTTCAATATTATAATGATACAAGTAAATATCAAAAAAAAAAAGCAGTCGCTTTTGGAAATTTTAATTTTTTTTGTTTTTGTTTTTCTAGATGTTAATCGTCGTCGAACACAACAATATTCTCAAGGTAATTTACAACGTTCACGTCCAACATTTAATTATCATAATGGTAATAATCGTCGTAATGGTCCAAAACAGATTAATGATCGTATAGATTTACCTAATAACAGTAAAACAACAAATACTTATCGTCGTCCACGACCTCCACCTCAATCTTCTCAATCTATTGTTCCAGTACAAACTTAAATTTTGTCCATAGAATTCTTACATTTGTGTTTTAAAAAACACCCATATATATGAGCAATTTTATTCTTGGCTGATATAAACTTTTTTGTTTTCTTCCTTTTCGACATATTTATTCTTATTTCGATTACAAGAAAAAACAAAGAAACTATTTATATTTATAAACTTAACAGATAATTATTGTAGTACGGAAGAATGATTTTTTTTTTTTGTTTTCATTTTTATTTGTTAGTTTTGGTGCTCTTGTCTTATTCTTAGTGTGAAAGAACGGTCATAAAGCTCAACTTGTCCTTGTTTTTTTTTAGTTCAGTGGGGTTTTTGTTTGTTTTCTTTGATATTTATTAATTTTCATTCTTTTCTTTTCTCAATTGTTATTTACAACAGCAAAACGATTTTTATCATGTATTCTTTTATTTATGTTTGATGTTATTCTGCTTGTTAAACGTATGCATGAGTTTGGCATTGATAGAAGAAGAGAAAGAAGACACTGGTGTTTTAGAAAGAAAAAAAAAACAGAATAAAACAAAAATCAGCAATGAAAAAAAAAAACTATCATGTATCTTTTAATTTTGCATGTTTTTCTAATAATTTTAGCTTTGACTATGATTAATGGAATAATAAATTGAACAAAAGTCTCCGCTCTAGTAGGATCAGAACCATTATTCATTCCTTCAGTGTGTTATTGTTTATCATTAGCTCTGACATAGAGTCTTGCCCGTACACCAGCGGTACGAATTTGTTTTTTTATTTCAACATTTGTCGGGCTTAAAGAATTATTTAAAATGGACTCAAGATTGCAAAGTGATGAACTGAAATCAAGCAGGCTTTTCTGACAAAAACCACTATTTGTCTGAATTCCCTGAAAGGGTTAGCTTGGAACTTGTCAGGAAAAAAGAAGATCGTGTGAACGATCAAGCATCCTATCAAAGTCAATCTTTAAGGTTGTTTCTCAAGTCAAGGTTTCTGTCGCATCGTCTGTTTTAAGGAGAACCTAGATATAGAATTGCTGTGTAATATTTTATAAGTGTTTTCTCTTGCCAACAGCTCAAAAACAATTTAGTCACGATTTGACGTTAGGAAAACGACCAGAAACAATCGAATTTCTGAAGTTGTTGAAAGTCACTATGACTTTATATTACGCTAATGATCAGAATGTACTATAAGTTTTTACATAGTAAAAATATTTTCATCTTATCACTTCATTTGATAGAGTGCAACTAGCGCACGATCTTTTAGCGACTTATTGAATTAGATTATGTAGCAATTGCAAAATTCGAGTCTTTGTGATTCTTCATTGAATCATAGATAAAGATATTAAACTATGTAATGATTCTCATTGTTGAGGTGACACTAGTTATGGTAGCAGTACGTACCCCTTCACCCTCATCCCCTCAAGAATGAGAAAGATAACAGTTCCGACAGAAAAGAACAAAATATAGATAAGAAACAGACAGAGAAAAAAGAAGCATGACAGTTTTTCGTTTGATAACCTGAGCCACAATCAAAACAAGCACACAGGCGAGTGGAGTGCGCGCCATGCTAACTAGTATTCTCATTGTTATATTGCTTCTCTTGATTTTCTTTTATGGTTGGCACGTTCATCGAGCATATAATTTCTTCATTCGTCTTGGCATTCCTGGACCTTCACCACGATTTTTTTTTGGCAATACGTTGGATGCTCTGAAAACCAAACGATTTTCATTATCGATCAAAAAATGGACTCATCAATACGGGCCTATATTTGGTTATTTTGAAGGACACAGACCCATCCTTGTGATATCCGATCCAGACATTTTACAAGACGTATTCATTAAATCATTCTCTAACTTCCATTCACGTCGTGATTTTCCAATAAGGGATCCTAACGCGAAAAATGCTCATCTATTTAGTGCCCACGGTCTTCGCTGGAAACGACAACGTTTCATCATCAATCCAACATTTTCATCATTAAAGCTCAAACAAATGTCGCCGTTGATCAATCGAAGTGTTGATGTATTAATGGAAAAATTAACTGATCAATATCGTCACCATAAACCATTTGATATCTATGCCTTTTTTAAGCGATTTACAATGGATACAATTTGGTCGTGTGGATTCGGTCTCGATACTGACATGCAGAATAATCCAAATGATCCCTATCTTGTCCAATCACAACAAGTATTTACCGAAGAGGATTCTATAACTAAGCTAATTCTTTTGTATTTATACGTCAACGAATTCAAATGGCTGTGGATTAGACTCTATCAATTCGATAATACCCTTCGATATTTGCTTCGTCATTATCTACCTGTGACACGAAGGTTTATCAGGGATGAACCATCAACATGGATCGAGAAACAGGCACAACAATTGATTAAGAAACGTATCGAATTGGGTCATACAGACCGAATGGATCTATTACAATTGATGCTAGCATCCGTTTCGGATGATGACTTCATAAAAGTAAGACGTCATTTCTCTTTTTGATCGAATATCAGTATTGTCAAGGATCGTCCAGAAGAAAGATCTTAGAAACTTTTTACTTTGTGATGTCTCCATCAAATCTGCAAAAAGTCTCCTCTCTGCTAAGATATTTTTGATCACTGCTCATTACAGCACTTGTCCATTCCGTTCGGTTTTGACATACGCACTTCAGTCTCTAATCAACTCGACTGTTTTGAAATAAATCGAGATAGACAAGCATTCATACTCAATTATTCCTCCTTCATATCTGAAATGTGCTAAAAATTAAAAGCTCCATATCAAGATTGTACATTCATCAAGTCCATCTACACAACTCCATTAGATATTACTAGTCTTTACTTGACCATTCTTTTTGCGCTCCTACCAATCTCTGGCATCCCTATACCATAAATTGGCGATTTTTAATCATGAGAACCATAACCATGTCTTATTCTTAACCTCGAGCTATTTGTTTTTTCACACAATTGAATAACTACATTATGATCCAACTCTTTTCTCTACTTTCAAAGGATCAACCAGTGAAAACTGGAACTAATGTTGACACTGATATTGAGCCACCGCTAGTTCGAAAAATGACCAAACATGAAATTGCCTCAAATATTTTTCTCTTCAGTGAGTAAATTTACTGTCATCTCGATTTTTTTCTTTTGTACCATATTTTCAATTACAAGTGATTGCTGGCTATGAAACGACAAGTACGGCACTTGCCTATGTGTCGTATGTTCTTGCCACTCATCCCAATGAACAGAGTAAATTACAAGCACATATCGATGCTCATTTCGATTCGATTACTGAAGATGATATGCCAAATTATGAAAAGATTTCGGAAATGGACTACTTAGATATGTTTATTCGAGAAACTCTCCGTATGTATCCAATTGCACCGAATGCCGTCACTCGACAGAATACGAAAGAGTTTCATATCGATGGTGTAGGCGTTATTCCGATTGGTACTAGTATTACTGCGAATCAATACAGTTTGCACTTCAATCCTGATCTTTGGGGTCCAGTCGATCCACATACATTCTATCCAGAGCGATTTACTACCAAGCGGCATCCACTTGCATGGGTTCCATTCGGTGCTGGACCGCGAAACTGTGTTGGAATGCGATTTGCACTAATGGAAATGAAAATAGTACTAGTTCGATTTCTTAAAATCTATTCGATTATCGATTGTGGTGAACAAACGCGCCAATCGATTGAACAACTCGAAGAAATGAAAGTTATTGCACCAAAAAATATGATTGTACGTTTGCAATGTCGAGATGAACAAATATCATAAACTTGAAATGACCATTATTGATCGCCATACTTTTCTTTCTGTAATTCCGTAATTTATCAAACACCATTATAAATGCTTTAATTTACCTAGTATATACCTCATCGTATAGGGACCCACGAGTCATGTAATGGGTTAATCAGAATAAATGGTTGCATTTTGTATTTTATTTTTCCATCATCTATTATGTTTTATTACAAAACAAAATATATCACAAGGTGCAGCGTGAAAAGCTCCACAATCTACAATACAAAGCTTGTTTTACATATGCATCTTTTGTTTTTAAAATGGACAAAATTCTATGTGACCAATTCATGAATCATAGCTTCTAACTTTATTCCATTGCATATTATTGTAATTGGAACATATATTGATTAGCCTAAAACTGGTCGTTAATTATGGTCTTTCACATAATCCTATAACAGAAGAAATAACAAAAAAATTTGTTACATATCAAGAATTAACTTCGTTCACAGCATAGAAAATTGGTCACATAGAATTTTGTCCACTTTGAAAACTAAAGTTTAATAAAACGTATCAAAATGATTGAAAATTGAAATATAAAACACGGCCATTTAATCTGTCTCACAAGTTATAATGAGCGAAATGTGAAACAGATAAGATGAAGAAAACATTGGCGAATATTCAAAAATGTATACGATTGAAATGGATGAGCCCTATGCGACTTAGAGAATATAGATTGCCACAAGTTGCCGTCAATAGTAAAGCATATACAGACGACAGCCATGTTGCCAATGTTTTTCTTAATGGAAGATATTATATATCGTCACGATTTTCTCAGGCAACGCTTGGTAGACAGTGAACAGGGTGCTTATTCTTCCGTTTTTCTTCATTTATACATTGTTTCGGGTATTTTTAAATGCTTGTAGCCCAAGAGAAGATCACAGTGATGAGTGTGGGTGTGGATATGGACGTGCATGAGAACAAAGAGAAGATTAACATCCACACCCACACCCATGTGTTTCAATGTGAGTGAACCCGAGAAAGCGCATTTCAGAATGCGTTTCAAAGTTCGTTCAAGTACGTTTATAGAACTTTTTATACGAGAAACGTATTTCGAAGCGGTAAAGATTTCATTCTAACCGCGTCTCAGCTACAAAAACTTTGCATATTGATACCCCATCTCTCTTCACTAAAAGCGCAATCAAATAAGCAAATGAGCCTCTATTTCATGATTAACAGTATAAGTGTTGTTATAAAGCCTAATATCATGAGACTACTTGAAAGAAAGTAAACTAGTTGAATCTGATTTCAGAATATCACGAAAACTGCTACAACTCAAAGAAATATGGACACAACTGACTTCTTCAGATGCGAGTAAATCTTTTTGATTTTTTTTGTGCATATTCTCTGAATAAATTATAAAATTGCTTATCTTCATATGAAAAAATATCATCAGAAATGGAACTAGTGTTGATAACAGGCTTTCCTTTCTTTAGACAGATGAATGTAGCAAACAAAATCTATATATGTATACACATTTGTGAAAAAAATAGCACATTCAGTGAGACCTTATTTTTGTTTTTTTTCGACAAAAACAATTATATCTCTTTGGACTTTATAACACCACTGAACTTCTAAATTTTTCCATCTATTTTTGGTCTGGATATAAAAGAAAACCGAGAAACACAAATGTTAATGGCGTATTCACATCTTTAGAAAAGCTTCATGAATCTATCAAATGATTTGTCATACTTGAAGACGCTCTGAAGTATTGCAGCCAAAACACTTAATCCAGTTGAATATTGTGATGAAATAAATAACATTTTCAAAAAAAAAAAGGATTACAAACTCATAATTTTGATTCATCAATTGATACGGTTGAAATTTTGATTGGTTTTTTGATTTTTTTGATTTAAATAAAAAAAAAGTCAGCTGTTTCCTCCTTGTGTTGGTATCGTTTTGCTTGCTGTTCGACTTTGTCATTTCTAGTGACTGACTCAGACATATTCATAGAGCGAGTATCTCGGACCATTTGTAGCCATTGATTCAACTAGTTTTATCGAAAATGGCGCCATTCGAGTGTCGAAAAATTGTATTGGCTCATCATGATTTTCATATTCAGATTTAACGTTTTGTCTTACACTGTTGTTTGTTAAATTGTTGATCATACCATCTAACGTAATACCGTAATGGTTTTCCATTAAGTTTGTAGAGAATTGAACAGCGTATCTAATCGAAAAAAGAGCACCATTATACGATCGATCGCTTTGAACAATATAAAAAAAAAATACTGAAAGATATATTTTTTCCCCATGTCAACTACTTTAAGCTGTTTTTACAGATCACATTTTAGTTCTATTTAAAGATGTACATTCTACTGAATGGAAAGACAGGATAAAACTTTTTTGAGTATACATTTAGAAAGAGTTTTCGACGATGATTCTGCACAAACGCTTTCGAGTTTATCCGTACATGTTTTAGTCAATGAAAAATAAACCAACACTTATGCAAAAAACTTTTGCATCATCCGTTGAGTATGATGTTCCATTATTGAACATAACCAATAAAACCTTCATTTGTACACTACTTCTTTGTTCACCTTCCAAATTTTTCAAAACATTAGTAACATAAAAATATTCATCTAATCAATCTATCTCAGTTATTGATGATCATTCTGCTAAAATACTTCAACCATGACATTGATTTTCTTTACTGTTATATAAGAATCAATTGACAAAGAAGTATTATTAATTTGACAACTCAAATAGATGATGAAAGTTCAGAAACTTTAAACAAAAGAATATATATATATACAAATACATACAACAACTTCTTATCAAAAATGAAAGGATATGATTAATGTCATTATTACAAAATACATTCGATGAAATATGTTGATAAAGAAAGGCTAAAGAAAAAGGTTTCGAAATATTATATGTGTGTGGTATTATCAACAAATTGCTTCGAAATGTAAAACTAAGTATTTTATATACACATCTATACCGTTGGGTTAACGTATTTAAAGAATCGAGTGAATTTACTGAGAATACATCATATCCTTACCTCTTTGTATTTATTTCGTCACAAATATCTTCTGCTCCGTACCATATCATACCATAATTAGGTGCTTTGATTTTTATCTATAGACAATTTATTTTATTTTATTTTATTTAGTGAGTCGAAATAATTAATAGGATTAATATTTATTTGAAATGCCTGGAGGCGCAATCATTCTACCATCTGCATCCAATCGCAAATATCTTAAAGGTCGTCAGCTTATTTTTCCTCTGGATCTAGCCAGTTCATTGTTCTTTCTTTGGGGTTTCTCATATGGTCTTCTCGATGTCTTAAATAAACATTTTCAAAACATACTCAAAATTACAAAGCTTGAATCGACTGGATTACAAATTGTCTATTTTGGTGGTGGTTACTTTTGCTTCTCACCGATTGCTGCCGAATTGCTCAAACGTAAAGGTTACAAGATTACAATTATCATAGGTTTGGCACTGTTCGCCTTAGGTGCTATTTTTTGTTCTGGCCAACTGCTCATTTTTCTAATCCAACTAAAGGGAAACAAGCTTTTGGAGGATTTATCGTTTGCACATTTGTCATTTCTTGTGGTCTTGGTACATTAGAAACGGCGGCGAATTCGTACACTGCGGTTATTGGTGATCCACAATTGGCTGCTATACGTTTACAATTTTGTGCATCATGGAATGGAGTAGCATCATTTATCGGTCCACTCATTGCCTCTAAACTCTTCTTCTCCGCTGAACATGCTACTAATTTTGGTAACGTCAAATACGTCTATATAGCCGTTGCTTGTAGTGTAGTGTTACTGGCTATTATTTTTTTCTTCTCAAAATTACCCGAAATTGTTACAGATGATGAAGATCCTACTGACGCCACAGATCAAACCAATGATCAAATTAAACCATTGTGAAAACAGCATAACATGATTTTTGGATTTATAGCACAATTTTGCTATGTTGGTGCTCAGGTAATAAAATATATCTAAGAGACGAGAATATCAAGATACATGTTAGTATTGATGCTCAACCAAATAAATCTGTTGTATATTCATGTGTTGAAAACAATATTATTATTTAGGTCACAATTGCCTCCTTTTTTATCAACTATGCTACTGAAAATGCTGATTTTACGGATTCTCAAGCATCAAAACTTTTATCCTATGCTCTCATTACATTCACTGTTAGCCGCTTTCTTGGTACTGTACTATCTCATTTCTTTCAAGCTGATTTTATTCTCCTCATATATTCTACAATTAGTATTGCCCTTACAATTAACGTATCTATTGGTTATGGTCGTTCTGCTGTCATTGTTCTTATGTCAATATATTTCTTTGAATCACTTATGTTTCCAACTATATTTGCTATGGGAACAGCTAATCTCGGTCGTCATACTCGTCGTGGAGCTGGTATTCTTATTATGGGAGTCTCCGGTGATGCTGTCTTTCCTCCAATTCAAGGTGTTATAGCTGATGCACATTCTACTCGTATCTCATTTCTGGTGCCAATGATTGGTTTTATTGTTGTTTTAGCTTATGCACTCTTTCATTGGATCAAACATGGCTTTAAAGTGAGATGTGTGCGTTCAACTGTCAATAACATTATCGACGTTCAACCTAAATTATCACATGTATCGCGACCTACAGATATAGTAAATCATATTTTGAGATCAACACTGATTTCTCCAGTACCTAAAACATATGTTAGAGAATATACGAATGGAACTGTTATCATAACAGAGTATTTCTAAAAGTGGTTATATCCAAAAAAAAATGATTAAACTGTTAAGAAGAGATATAATCTTAATTTTTTCTTTTTCTACAAACTAACTGAGACTCTATTTATTATTTTGTGTTATCGATTGTAGTCTTTCAATCTTACTTTTATTTACTATTCTGTAAAGCTTGACATGACTTGTATATAAAATAATGAAAATTGATGGAATAGTTCACATTACAAAGCGTACAAATTCTTGCATTAAAACTCACATCTGATTGGGAAAAGTAATCTATGGATTTAAATGAACTCTTTCTTCGTTATTGACTTATTCAGATCTCATGATTTTCATATTAGTTCAGTTTATTAATTTTGTAGATGTTGTCTATTAGAGTGATCTAGTGTGAGAGTGCGAGATTTAATTTGGTATAAAATTTGTTCTGGATACTGTTTGAAATCACAACGTCACTCATGTGGAAAAACATTTTTACGCACTCTATAGTTTCTTTAGAAAAACAAGTTTAATTTCATTTCTTCGTACAAGCTCATTAGTAACATTGTAGTTTCCTTTCTTTTCCAAGTTAAGTAAACAATTTAGAAAATTCTTCCGCTGGAAAATGTTTACCTTTTTGTCTTTATAGAAGAGAAATGTGCGTAAGAATTGTGATGACACAAAATTTTTCTATTGAACTTTGATCTGTCTATAGAATATGTAGTCATCTGTGCTATGTGCATTAGGTGTTATCAACAGAATTAAAACTACAAAAATCCTTCTTTTATAACAAATTAGAACCACTAGACTTGATATCAAATAATCATATTACCAAACTCTCCCGAAGAAAGAAAGTTCCTTTTTCCATTTCAGTTTTTCACTACTTAATACACTGTATTTAAAAAAACAAAATATACTAGAAGATGCAGCGAGGTATGGGTGTGCGGATGTGGGGTGGGCTACCTCTCATTTGCGAACATGAAAAAGATAAATTTTAAGTGAATTAAAATTTTTAAAATTTTGTTTAATTTAAATCTGATGGTTTTATTGATTTTTTGTAAAACGATTAAAATTTATATATTCAACTTTTAAAAATTTGGTTACTGCGAATGAACATTGAAAGTGAATTGTTTTAAAAGATTTTTATAAAAATTTATTTTTCTTACTAAGCATGCTGCAATTTGTAGAGGTCGTTAGTATTTTGATAATAAAAACTTTTTAAGATTCACATAGTTACTGCAATTTGTAGAGGATGTAAGTTTTTGATCGGAGAAAGTTTTTAAATTTAGTACTATTGCTGCAATTTGTAGAGGACGTTAGATTTTAGTTGAACTAAAAGTTTCCTGCGAATCTAGAACTGAAGAATTTCAATAGAAATCAAAAATAGAATGTACTAGCTATTTTTTTCTTTTGTTATTGATAAACTAATACGCATAGTGCACGAGCAAGGGTCGCCGATTTGGGCTAAACTAAGAACGACTTCAGTTAAGGACAAAGCGAGTTTTCAAGGAGACTGTATCGTAACTTTTTGTGATAATTTGATATTTGTTCTAACTGTGGTGCTGGTGAATCGAACTATATTCACCAAGAGAAGGCGCTCATTAACATGTGTAATTCTGAACCATCTTGCTTAGAACACCATTTCTTGTATTTATGATTTTTGTGTATAA